AGGTGAACCTGAATTAAAGTCAGATGGAACTGCAGCCTAATTTCTCAGCTAACATTTAGGAATTGTCATCTATCTAATCTGTTGTAGATCTTTTTGTATTATTTAGGTTAATTAGCGATACATTGGTTCATTGCAGTGCTGGGGAGTTGATAGCAAGACTTTACTTGGTTGAAAACCAGTCTTTGAGTGCATAGCTCTGCTGGCCTGGCAGAATTTAGGAAGAATCTGTGCATAAGTATTCCTGTGACCCTGCTTTTCTTAAAACAAGGTATGATGTGTAATGGTTGTCTGCAGAGTGAGACAGATCATGTTCTATGAAACTTACTCCAGATTTACAGAACCCTGCAGGAAGAGCAAGGCTATGTTCCTGTTTTTCAGTTTTTTTCTTCTTTCCTACTTGGATAGCCTTTCTATTCTCTCTATCTTCCCTATCTACGTATGTCTTTGAGTCTTTCTCTTAAACTGATGTAATCAGAGAAAGTGAAAGACCAAGACAGAGACTTTTGAATCTTTGCTTTTCCTCTTTTTCCTGCTTGAAAAAAATGCCGGAGTTGGAATAACCGAAAAAGCTCCAATCCTAAGATTTGTCAGACTCCCACAAGGAGTCCGCTAGGTCTGACTGTTTTGATCAGGCATCTGTACCGTTAGCAAAATATTATACAAAATATTATATAGTGCTGCTTGGGGTAGTTGTAGCTTGTGGCTGACATGGAGAGGAATATTTATCTGAAATAGGGAGAGGAAGCTCTGGGCTGTGATACAGTAGAGCCAAATTGGACTGAAATGCAATGTTAGATACATATATATACACATATATATTTTTAAAAGCTCTTTATTTAGTTTTCCTATTTTACTCTTCCCCTCTGGGAACTCTTTGCGCTTATTATCTCCAGTGAAAATCTCCATTCTTATTTTACTGTTCTTTATTTCTTCTTCCTTATTTCCACTTTTTTGATAATGAGGAAAGAATTTGTTTCTTTCCCCTTCTTCTGGGGCCTCCCATACTTTTGACCACTGTAGGCCTCTGCTGTCTGGCTTTTTAAGGTTGGATCAACTGCCAAAGACCCCTCAGGAGTCCGTGTTTTTTTTCTTCAGACCCAGGCAGTCTCAATTCATCTGTCTGCTAAGGTTACTGGGTCAGTCTTTTTTCTCCTAAGTAACTTGCTACTTTTGTTGCTCTGAGGTGCATTGTGACAATCACACTATCAGACTGTTCCAACTGCAGATCTGTGAGGTTGGTTTCTCTCTTCTCCTCTCCAGGAGATCTCATACTCCCAAGCAATTCTTGCTGAGAGTTCATCTGAATTCTGCTTGGACAGAAGCCAGATCCATGAACTCAATCTGTTCAATCAAGGAGTTGTAAAAATAAGATGTCCCATGTTACTTGTTGTAAGGATAGGAAAGGAGGGAACAGCTGTCACTGGCTGCAACTTCAGTCTTCTTTCAGCCGGCGCTGGTGTCTTTTTCCTTCATCTTCTTTAAATCTGATTCAACTGGCACTGCCTATATCAGGACTAAGACTTGACGACGCACAGCTGGAGAAAGAGCCCATACATAGTCTGTGTGCCCATATATGAGGCATCATCTCAGCACCCATGCAGTGCCCTGAGATCCAGGTTTTTTTCCTCTGCACAGGTTGTATGCAAAGAGGGGTTTAGTGGAGATTGGTCTGTTATTGTTTATTGGTCTGGTTGTTTAGACGCATCAAGAGCCTCCCATAACTCAACTGGAAAAAGGTGACACGGTTCAGACAGACAAATGAGAAATGATAGGTGACTGGGCTTCTGGGATGTATACGTATTACTTTATTTGCACACAATTACTTTATTTCATTTCTCCTGCAGAATCTTTTGTACCTACATAGTCTACCTGGTTTGGAAGTGACTAAGGTATTTTTTCAGAATTTGCAAATTTTTGGGTCAAAGTATCATTTTCTTTAAAGTGATTGCTGTAAGATTTTAGAAGTGCTAATAAGTTAAAATATAATGGTTTACTATTTACTATTTTACTTGCTATTCTTATATAAGCAGAGATGAGGCACACTATGAAAACAATTGCTTTGTGAATTTTTGTCAAATTCATTGGAGAAAGAGAACAGTAAAATAGTTTTACTGTGAGGTATGAGTTGGCCTGGGCGAGAAATGGGTAACAGGCTTGGAGAGAGTGTAGGTTGGTAACAGCTCGTGTTACAACCTGCAGGAAGAGGGGAAGTGCTCACTGTGTGGCTGGTGTGTGGCCTTCTCTGTGCTGCGTGAGTTACTCTGGCGCTGCTTCAGTGTAGATCGTAGCCAGAAGTCACAGCCCAGAAAGTGCTCTGCATCCTCAGTGTCCAAGTATCTCCTCCCTGTCCTGGCCGCAGCTCCCTGACAGCCGAGCTCTGCAGGCTGCTCCCTGCCTGGGAGAGGCTTCCGGCACCGCTCCCTGTGCTCCAGCTCTCTTCCAGGGTCAAAGTTTCCGCCTCCGCTTCTCGTTTCTGCTTTCTGACTTCTATGGTGGCAGCTAGAGCTGCAGGGGAGGATGAGGGGAGACCTAATCAGCCCAAGTCCCACAGGGATTTGGGACTTGGAAAAAAAAATGTGGAAAGTTTGCCCTGCAGAGGCTGGATGGAGCACACTTTTAACCCTTCTGCATAAGGGACTGGTTCAGCTCCTTGTTGTTCGGTATCCTGTGTCAAAATGCTTACTCTGTTCCTGCTGCGGTTCCCTGTCTTCAGTTTTGCTGATGCAGCTGTTCATGGGAGTGTGCTGCAAATTGGATCAGTGATAAATGAAAAGAGAAAGTTAATTTCCCTTGGTTTCACTGAGGCCAGCCCTACAGAGTGTTGCCTCAGCTGAGGGAGTGGTGGAAGGAGATGAGTAAGGGAGAGGTGACGGGAAGGAGGAGAGGAGATCCTCCTAAACTGGTTTTACCACTAATGCAAATGTATGTCATGCTTCCACAGGCTTGGAGAGGTGGGGCGAGGCGATTAACAGCTTCCCTTCTCCCAGTGCGAGATACATCATTAAAGGAAGTTCCATCTCCATATAAGGAAGAACTTCTTTACTGTGGGGGTGACAGAGCCCTGGAACAGGCTGCCCAGAGAGGTGGTGGAGTCTCCTTTGGAGGTCTTTCAAATCCACTTGGATGCCACCTTGTGCCACATGCTCTAGATGTCCCTGCTTGAACAGGGGGTTGGACTAGATGATCTCTAGAGGTCCATTCCAACCTCAACCATGCTGTGATTCTGTGAACACCTCAGCCCACTGGGCTCAAGTTCCTAGGTGGAAGCTTTGGTGTGGCAGCAAACTTCCCTGCACTGTCACACTTGGTGTTACTTCTTACTTTGAGAATCTGATTCACTGGATGGGTAACTCATAAAAATGTAACCTGCAGATACCAAGCGTCTTACAGTAGCTAGCATCTAGTGTTTGGAGGGCTGAAATGTTAAAATACTCTCCTACTGCATGTGTATGGCCTGTACAATTTAATAACATTGTGCCCAGTAAGATTTTGTTTAAAATGAGCTCAGCATTTGCAAAGAAATCCTCTTGTGTCATGTTCTGAGTTTGCTGGCAGCCTGAAAAAGTGATTCAGAAGTTTTCAGCCACCTGAACCTTTGAATTCCACTATAGATTTAGTACTACCTTTTAATAAATTTCTGATAACTTTAACAGGTGAATGTGAGGGGAGGAAAATGAAGCAAAGAACAAAAACTGCAACATTCCTAAAGATGTGCCCTGTGTGCAGCTGTTTATATCAATCTACTGAGCTAAAATAATTAAAAAAGAATGTCTTGTACTGTTTTGTGAAATTCTTGCTGCTAGACCAGTCTTTTAGGTGAATAGGAACAGGTGGCCCTCAAGATGAACTTCAGCTATATGAATTTCAGGAATCAAATGCTTTATTCCTTAAATAAATTTGGGCAATCTATTTCTGAGGCACTTGCAGTATCGTAGTCTCCTTTATCTGCTGACTTGGCAGTTAGCTGATACAAAAAACAGGGCTATGCAGGGAAGCCAGGGAAGATCTGTGGTTATGCCAGGTGTCCCTTTCCATTTGAAGGATATTATATTAAGTTTGCATCTGATGATACGATTTTTCTCCATTTTTTAGAAGTTTGTTAGATTGATGTGCTTTCAATTGTCTCCGACTTGGGAATATATAAAGGTTGCAATAATCCGATGTCTCAGTATAGACTCTCCTGTCGTGCTGTTTCCTTGCATATCGTTTGGAGCAGTGAAAGTGAAATAATTGTCTAACCTGTTCCATTTCTGTCGTCTGTTCAGTGATTTGGTATTGTCCTTAATATGAAGTTTATCTGGTTCTAGACTAGTGTCAGCTATAACAAAAATGATATCCTGGTGCGATCCTGGCAGATGTTATAACAATATGCTGTAAAACTGCAAGTTTCAAGGCGGCCAGTGTACGGGAATTTCAAGGATGGGTCAGCTTTTGACCACGTTTTCCTAAACGGAAACCAAGATTGTTTTCAGCTTTGTAGAATAAATGAGTTGGCCGTGACTTTGTAAAGCCAGCTAAGATATGTGCACCTGTACAAGTTATATCTATGGTGCATCTTTGTGATTGACCATCCTGGTGAGCTCTGAGATTCCAGGAGAAAGAAATAAGGGAGGGAATTCTTGGATTATGCCTAAGTTTCTTACCACCGAGTAAGCCTGTCCTGTGCTGCAGTTTCTGAAGGCTTGTCTCTGGGATTCTAGGGTGGGAAATCCCCCAATAAAAACTTGGAGGTAGAATTGCAGGGAACTTAAAGAACAGTGTAAATATCTGAATGAAAAAGCTTTGTTTCTGATGATCTAATGATAATGTTAATAGTCAAGTAAAGGTTAAGGGAAAATGTACCTATTAACTTTTAGAGAATGATTTGTCTCTCTCTCTTCTCCCAATCCCCTCTTTTTTTTCTTCCCCTAACTACAGATATCTTTAATTTATGTGGTTTCTTTTGCAATGCTCCTATGATCATTCCATTTTTTTATTTTATTTTTGCTTTTTTTTCCTAGAGATGTGAATTATGCCCTCATAAGGATGGTGCTTTAAAGAGAACAGATAATGGGGGTAAGTTTTATTCTTATTTTTTGTAAACTGTCTTATCTTATATGAGGAGAATAAGACTGTGAAAAGAATACATAGGAATCCTAACCATAAACCAGGAAGAGCAGCTAGTTTATTAAGCTAGATGGCTTGGAAAGAGGTAAATATTTCCCAATAGGCTTTACTTCTCCAGTTTAGGTTGTATTTAGTTTGAGAAAATAAATCATTACTTTTGGCTTTATTTTTAGATAAGAGTAAAGGAGAAACTGCTTTTTAGTACAAGATTCTAATATTAAGGTTTGACAGAGATAAAGGATAATATGTATATGTATTCAGATGGAGTTTGCACATTTATAGAAAGCTGTTGGAAGTGCATCATTCATTCTTATGCATGACGGAGAGTGGATTTTTAAGTCTGTAGTGCCAACTGAATGCAGCAGTACATTTTAAAAGGATAGCTCTTTCATGCATGGCTTACTAATAGGTTCTGCAACAAAGAAGTTAGAGAAGTTGGAGTAGTGATTTACTGTGCCTTGCATCTTTCTAATTGCATCATTCAGGATATCATCAGTTCTGCTCCTGCTGAGTAGAACTGCTACAGAAGTCTGCTGAATAGTCTGTCTTGGTTATATTTTTACTAATAGCCGGCTCATATAAAATTAACTTTTCAATTACTTTTGCAAAACCTTGTTCTATCCTTATTAAAAACCTCTAAATTCTAGTTCCTCATCTATCTTAACTAGCCTAGTGTTTTTGACAGTGAGACACTTCTGTGAGCAGAGGAAGGATGATCAGCACTTGAGATTTTGTTTACACAGTCTGCATACTTTGTATTCTGAAGCTTTTTTTTCCGCATACATAATTCTCTAACTAAATTTGTATTTTGCATCTGCTTAGTGTTAATGTAATTGATGCAGCTAGGTTTGCTATTTCTGTAGCTGTTGAGTTGCGGGAACACAGAGCCCACCTGACCCCGGGTTGCTCTGTGCTCCCTCCTGGGTTCACTTTGTGATGTGGAGCCTACGTCCTGGCGTTGCTCATTCTAGCATCGGGTCAACTCGGATGTGCTTGTGAGTGTCCAGCCATTTGTGGGTGCTGGGGGGTTGCATTGAGTCTGTGTTGTCTCTGTATTAGTGGAGGTATCTTTAGTACCAGTCCAGGATGTTACTGTGAAACTTGTCTTCCTCTCGAAGGCAGCTAACATGGCAGGGTTGAATTAATTTCTTCAAAATACCACCTGGACACTTGCTTTTTACCAAACGAGCTATAGGAAAGTCTCCGCTTTTGAAAGCTGCAGTAAGTTTTCTGAACTCAGAAATAAATGAAAAACTGAAATGTTTCTATTTTTATTCCTAGTTGTGGTCAGGAATGGCTTGTTTTTCTGTATGCCTTTTTTCTTCTTTTTTTTTTATCCCCCATGGCATCTTGAAGGTCTATTTTGACAGTGTACATCAAAGATCTGAACATATAAGTGATAATTCCTCTTGCAAAAAGTTTAAGTTACTCACTTTTCAAAGTTACATTTGAATTCATATCTACAAGTAATTTTCCATGTAAAATGGAAATTATTTAAATGGCAAAGATGTTAGGTCGTATTTTCGTGATGAAACATTTTCATCAATATCCTTGACTGTTACAATATAGACATATTTCAGACATAGAAAACATTGTATTGTGGATAGAACACAAGTTAAATGTAAGACAATTTTTATACTTTTCACACTGGAGTTGCATGACTTCGGCTGTCACTTCTTTTGGAACTTCGTCAGCTACCAGAGTTGTCAGTTAAGAGATGAAGGCAGTGACCACAAGTGTCTGAGACATTTGAAATAGTCTTCGAGTGCAGTCTCTGCTATCTCAGCTCCCACTTCTGCTATACTGTTTAGGCATTGTGCCAATTTAGAAGTGAGTTCCTATTGGAGTTATAGGATTATACTGGTTATAGGATATCTTTTTTTTTTAATCATATCTGTAGGAAATACTTCCAGTATTTGATTTGAAAATCAGTTTTTGTCAACTAGTGTTGTTGGACAGGTTTTGTTCAGCTATCTCATGTATATTACAACAGAGTTTATAAGTCAAGATATTATTGAGATTACATTTCTGTCAGCCCTCATGAATACACGAAAACTCAAAACTGTCATAGCGGAGAAGTCTTAAGAATCTGAAGAGTCTGAAAACAGTTCCCCTTCTGTAATGGGTCTTGTAGGTACTGAATACAGGAATTTCTATCTTTTGGGCCAAGTGTGCTTTAAATAAAAGTCTTGCAGAAGGATGTGAGCTTGGACTAGTTTTGCATTTCTAAAATCTGTGTTGTTAATCTGGAGATTTCCTTTTTGGAGCAGTTCTGTCAGACATTTTACATGGATCCTGTCAGTGCTAGCAGACAGTGGTAACAGAAGAGGACAGATGTATCATGGAGACCAAAAGTGTTTGGGCCACTCTCTTCAACAGTATTTAACAGGATTCTTGGGAAATCCCCGTTGTTAGAGGCTTTCTCAGATTCATTTCCCAGCTAGAGGTGGGCATTTATGCTTCGGGACTTCTTGATCCGCAGGTGGTTACCTTTGTGATTAGTAAGGTGTGATGGATTCTTGTTCTGTGAATTGATTGAATTAGGAATTTTCAGTGTCCATAGTGTCATGTGGCAAGGAGCTTCACAGCCGATCTATGCATCGGGTGAAAATGTACAGCTGCTTGTCTCAAGCCTATTGCTGTACCATATTATTTCATGCCATCTAGCATTTGCCTAGGAAGTAGAAATAAGCAGTTATTGCATGTTCTATGTTCTGCTTTTATAGATCTCTGTCATCTTCTTTTCATGGCTCCTGGCTGGCCTCAGACTGTTTGGGTGAATATCCCTTGTACAGAGGTCTGACCATTGCTTTCCACCTTCTTTATGTCTTTTCCAAATGATACCTAATCCTTACCAGAGCTGAATATGAAATTATAGAAATGCAAATCTACTGCACTTGAGGCCATGGAGTGTCTAGGCTGTAAAATGATTACAGTGTGATTTAGTGTTGTCTAGTGCAGACTGCTAATACAATTATGGGTCACCATTTTTTTGGTACAAACTTTGTCTTTAATCAAGTATTTTCACTAATCTCATCATATACATTTATCTTGAAACAGCAATAGATTCTGAAATTAGAATAAAATTTGTCTTTTTTGAATAAGATTTTTGTTTGAAAATGCTCTAAAAATTGCATGAGTGGTTTCCTATATCTGCTCTGAAAACAGAAGACCTGGCTAACTCAAATTTTTGAAGCATTAGCTATTTTTACAGCCACTATGAACTCTTGGCTATTTAAGTTGTTTTGTGGGGGGTGGAGCAAGGGAAGTTCAGTTACCTCAGATAATAGAAACCCCTAGACAGCACTATGTAAACACATCCTTAGCCAGTGCTGCAGACTCATCCAGATGTTCCTGCACCGCGTTGCCGGTGTGTCTGATTCTGGAAGGATGTAGGAGTGTTTCCAAAGCCCTAGTGCCGAGTGGCATTTTTTTGTTGGTAACCCTTGTTTACAGTGGAGGCTGCACAAATGCCTGACTTACTGGAGCAGAGAAGGTGCCTGCTCTTGCCATAAGCAAAACCTATGGTGAGTCCCAATAGATATATCTGTGCGTGTGTGAGCTGGTGATGTCCTTTTGTGTGTGTTCCCGTGCCTCTCCAGAGCTTTCCCCTGCAGGAGACCTGAGCTGACCCTGGCAGGAGCAGCTCAGATCCGGTGGCACATATTTATGCAGACTCTTCCATACAGTGGCCTTTTTCAGGCCATTCCATGTGTCCCGCTTCCCTAGACGTTGGAAACAAGACAACTGCACTTAGCAGAGTGCTCTTGGTACTAGTATCCGTGCTGTGGCTCAGCTGTCAGTGCATTGAGGTATTAAGAATGACTCAACTATATTTAATTAATTCATTTGTAGTGGAACATTGCAGGATGATCAGGGTGATTGTCAGAAAATTTAGGAATAAGCCTTGAATATGTAAATAATATATTTTTTTCAACTTTTCAGCTGCTTGATATCTTCTGCTGTTTTATAGATATTAAGTCTTGTGAACAAAAAATAGTCTTCCGAATATTTGGATTTTGTGGATTCTTTTATCATAAGCATTGCAACTTGTTAATTGTTTGCAGGCTGCATTTTTTTTTTAAAGTTCTATTACATTGCCTTTTTGATGATATTGAGAGTGTAATTGAGATAATTGAGAGTAGGATTGAGTTGAAAAAGGAACTTTGCTACCTCAATGCACTTATTGACAGAATTCCTTGCTAAATTGTACTAATGTTCTTTTAAGAGCTCCACTATGATAAAAATACATGACTGACTATAATTTTTTTTTTTAATGAGGAGAAATGTTTGTGAATTACTTACTGATTTGCTGTCTTATGTATAAGACAACTGCTGAAAGACTAATTTTTCTTCAGGACAATCTTTGTACTCATGTGGTGCCCTTTTTTTTTTTTTTTGTTAAGAGAAGCAGAAGAGCAATAAATGATCATTTGTTTGAAGATAGTTGAGAACTGTAGGCCATTTGGTTGAAGCAGGTAAATTTCAGTGTAGCAATGTTTTGTTAACTTAGGGGTCTAATGCTTTAACTGTTTAGAAAAATCTCCTTGTTTGTTTGACACAGTGAGGAGAGGAAGTAAAACTGGTCAGTTCAACAGATTATAGTTTGAATCCCAGTTCTTATGTCTTCTCATAATATTCAACATGTATTATCGGCTTTTTAAGCAAACTGTTCTGTTATATGCAGTATTTGGAGTGTCTCGTTTAAATAGTTTTCTTACAGTAATCTTTGTCCACATTTATTTGGAGGTCTAAAAGGCTCTTTTTTTTTTTCCCCCCTCCACAAGTTGTTGCTTTGAAATTTGATTCCCAGGATGATGATCAGGAATGCTGTGTAACAGCATTCTTTGTATCAGCTTCTCACCAAGGCTTCTTTCATGCAGCTGCTTGGGAAAAGGCCAACCAACAATGCAGTGATTTTAATGTCATCATTCAGGCTTTCTTCTCAT